GTTAAAAATGGCTTTAGAAAGTCACCAAACGGCTTTGAAAATTCCAAAATTCCGGGGGACCCCCCTACCTTCCGGTGGCCCCCCGACAAGGTCCTACGTTTGTCCCCCTCAAAGTTTTGATGCCGACGACGCCAATGACCTGTCATTATGTTATGTTACTAAATAAATATTAGGCCTACGTTTCAAAAATACTCACAAGAACAAAATACCCCCACCGCAGCAAACCTGCAGACTAAGCGAATTTCAACTAGTCTGATTACATTTTTACTAAAATATTTCCATAAATAAGATATATTTATTCCCTATTTAAATAACATTAGATTTAACGAGTGCTTAGGTTTACTGCTACGGGGAAGGTAAAAAGTGTTTTTTGACCATACGTCAATAGTATTGGATGAAATAAATAAATTTGCTAAATTTTATCAATAAATATCCATAAACAAGTAAAATTTTCATTTTCTCCATAAGAATAACATGGGAATTTTAAATTACACTATTTTTGAACTTTCTCCGTGACTGTTAGGCATACAACAGCGCTTCAATATACTATTTTTTTTTTAAGCTCTACAAAACGGTTTAAAAAGAAATTGCAAAATTTTTTTAAGAGTCAAAAATGGGAAAACCCCATTTTTACTCCATAAAACCCCCCTATGCTGGATCGCGAACTCGTTCGAATAAACGTAGGTTTACACGTTTGTCCCAAATTTCATCAAAATCGGATCATTTTTGCTTGAGTTATCGCACTAACGGACACACATATATATATATATATATATATACATAGATAAATATATATATGAATTTGAACGGATGGTGTTTTGGCCTCTAGGGACCTCAAAATAAAAAATTAAATTGGTCCCAGGTCCAGGTCTTACCATGAGTACTACAGTAATAGCTTATTCCCTATATGGGAAATTTGCTTAAAGATGTACTAAAAATAGATCCAGCTAATAGGATACGCACGTACAAAAACAAGCAAAGTAAACACATCCCATAACTTTAATTTGTTTACCTAACCCGCCATGTTAAACTTCCCTATCCCAAGCGTGATGTATACAACTTCTTTACTTCGCGAGTGATGTAAAGTTGAAAAAACTCACTCGGTGAGGTAATGAAACCCATTTAAATAACATTGAGTGCTTAACTTAACAAATATACCTCTATGGATCCAACGACGTTCAACGCTAGAACTCAGCTGTGTGCTTGAATGTTATTGTTATACTTTGAAGAATTTTCCTAACCTAGCTTTTGTTTGTAAATGAACGTAACCGTTAGAAGATAAGTGAAATGGATAATGACAAATATTGTACGTAACCCCCTGTATATTGTCGGATTAAGTAAAATATTATACGTTACACGTTACGCAAGAGCGTGTTTACATCACTTAGGTAAATTATGCAGCTCGCTTCCGCTCGTTGCACAACATTCACCTGCGTGATAACGTAAAAACGCTCTTACTACACTTGTCATGTAAATAGCTATTACCCAACCCGCCATGTTAAACTTCCCTATCCCAAGAGTGATGTAAACAACTTCTTTACTTCACCCGGTGAAGTAAAGTTTCAAAAGCTCACTCGGTGAAGTAATGAAACCCATTCAAATAACATTGAGTGCTCAACTTAATGAAATATACCTCTATGGAGCCAAGAACGTTCAACGGTAGAAATCAGACGTGCGTTTGAATGTTATTGTTATGCTTTAAACTATTATCCTAACCTAGCTTTTTTTTGTAAAAGAATATTACTATTAGAAGATGAGTGAAATTGATAATGAAAAATATTGTACGTAACCCCCTGTATATTGTGGGGTCAGGTAAAATCTTGTACGTTACACGTTACGCAAGAGCGTGTTTACATCACTTAGGTGAATTATGCAACTCGCAAAAAAAGCTCTTACTACACTTGTAACGTAAATAGCAATTACATGATTCAAATTCAAATTGAACACATTACGACACCATAACAACAATGCAATTGAATTCTTGGTTGGAGGAGTTGAAGGAAAAATGAATCCAGTCATCTGATTCTATTAAGAGGGCGTTGGAGTCAGATTAAAAATCTTCGCTGATGCCAGGAGAGCGCATGCAAACCAGTGGCAATTTCCCATTGAAACGTGCGGAACATGCCTTCACTTAAAAGCATATTTTTGGCCATGTGAATAATACTTTTCAATGAAACAGCTGTTCATTTTTAAATTGTATTTTAAACCACACATATTTATTGGGTTACTGAATTGTACCAAATAAGTATTTGCAATGTTATTTTCTGATTTTAAAATTAATTTTCCTCTTTATCATGTCATGTTTTGCAATATAACGTTCTATTACGAAATCAGTGGAAAATCCTTTTATCACAGAAATTCTTAAATTATTTCTTATTTAACTATCTTATATTTATTGTACGGGTTGGTGTCTGACTTTTTCACCACTTTTGCCTACATTTTATCATATTATTTTACACATATCAAGTATTTATGTAGAAATATCTGCTCTTATCGTGTCTAATAAAATCCAAACATAGAAACCTTGCCTAAAATGGTACCCATCTTGACAAATTATATGCACCTGCCTATATTACGGACTTTGGTGCACTGGGTTGGTAACATGATTGAAAATAACTCTACATTTTGGCTGTAAAATATGGTACAAAGAGAAAATACAATTTAAGCAGCTACTGTCATGACAGAAAGGTCATATTCCTTTTAAACTAGATCACATAATCCTTTATAAGATACGTTGCTGATTACCAATATGTTAACGTCAAAACGTAACAGCCAATTTACAGTATATTTGCTTTTTGGAAACGTCCCATTGCTATGTCATTTGCATTATTTGTTGCCAATGAAGCCGCCAAGACCATATAAATGAGGAGGCCCCTAACAGTTCAAGAATAAAAGCCAACTTCACTTCAAGTATTCCACTACACCTAACATTCCGTAGAGAGATTATTTTGACAACTTTATGTTATTGATAAGGCTGAGACAACTAACTGACATCCCCCATGTCAAGGAATTCCAGCTTTAATAGTAACCCCACAATCAATTTCTCAAAACTATGCTAGAGGGTTCATTCATTGGAACAGAAGTACGATATGAACTGACGCGACGTGACAAAGGCAAAATCAAACTTACACTGTAACGGATATACCTCCCTTTGAAGTTAGAACATGTCTTCCCAAAAAATATTTTCTTTTCAAATAAAATCATATTACACTGATGAAATCACAGAAGTTTTTAACTACAAAATACCCACTAATACAATTTTAATACTATTGTTCTTCCAAAGGAAGAGATATCATATAACATACTAATAATAACTCCGATGAGTCAAATGACGTACGGTATGGGAAATATTTTAATCATTGAATGATCAACCAAATTTGGCAACTAACGAAATTAAAATCATTATTGTTTTCACACTTATTACCCTTTAAACAATGCTAAATGCTCAAAATATGTATATTTCACCCAATTTATCGCAGTTAGATGAATTAACGTAAGCCTTGAAAGTAACCGTCGATTTCGACGGGTTTCCCCTAGTTTTATATAACACTTGAGCCAATTGGGTAGTGATTGATATTTTCACAACAACTAGAATTAAGTAAATTAGGCTACCATAGCAATACACGCATTGTTTTCTTTTAGTTTTGCCTGCGTATCTGGAAAAATGCAAACTTGTAAACAAACTGCTGTTCGGAACATGGTTTCAGCTGACTACATGATGTCTGTAGAACGGGCACACTGCTAGTATATAGGTTACTATAGTAACATATATAACAATACTATAGTATAATATAGTAACCTGTCTTCTTGTTAATTGCAAAAGTGCTTGTACTAAACTGAATCATCATATTGTAAACTGGATTATGCCGTAAATAAACGAATTGAATTGAAAAAAAAAAAAAAAACACATATGAACCCAAAGTGATTAAAATTACATGAGCAGTTTTACTTTCTTAGACTAAAACAATGCATGCGACCATTTCGTTTTTAATAAAATAGTATCTAGCTAAGATAGTTTCTTTTGCATCAGCGAAAAATAAGTTTGTTATGACGAGCAATAAGCGCGTTTCTTTGTCTATCTGTACAATATTGTTTAGTTGGATATTTAAAGGAGTGAAGACGGCAGTCAGGACAGGCTATGAGTTTAGAATTAGGCATCACTGATTACAAACATAATACTATAAACCAGAGGATGTATTAAGTAACAAACATTAAATAGGCTACTGTATTAGATTGATTTATAACACTCCTTGCACAACATACCAGATTTAAAAATCGGCCGGGCAGGTAATCGTGGGTCTGTTGCTTCCATACTGCTGCTATTTTTATCGGACGAGTCAAAATTGTATCTCCATTTCAACAAAACAGAATTCTTTATCAGTTCTGTTCTGTGAAAAGAGTTTTATAGTTTGTCATGGATGATATGTATTTTATAAATGTATAATTACACACAAACTTGACGATTAGCATTTTATAATAATGCTTTACTGCTATACTGCTATACTGTAAAAATATGTATTTAAAAGTATCAATTTATTTTAAATAATGTGAACGTGAAGTAGCCTTACTGGTAATCCTGTTGGTAAACTAAAATGAACATAAAAAAAGGTAACTTAACAGAACTTTAATCTTAACTGCACTTACTTAGAAGTACACTTAGATAACTACACTAAGAATACACTTAAGCCATGAATGCTGAAGTGTGCCATGAATGCGAATACCCTCGCCGCAGCAATCCTGCAGACCAAGTAAATATCCATTTGCCTAATTAGATTTTCACTTAAATATTTTCTTAAACATGTCAGATTTATTTCCTATTTAAATAAAATAACAGCACGAGGGGACCGAATGTTGCTCGTTGGTGTATCATTTATTTGGAATGTTAAAAAATATATAAAACATGCATATGTATGATTTTTAACAGATTATTGTTCTCTTTATAAACATTAATATTATGATGTGTACTGTCTAAAACATGTAATAAAACAATTTTTATATAGATTGGAGAAGCGGCTAAGCTGAAACCTATGGAAGTTGAGTTGAAGAGACTTGAAGATTTATCAACATCTATTGTCCAAGATTTCGTTTTGATGAGGAAGCGAGAAGTGGAAATGAGAGACACCAATGGTAAAATTAGAAGTAGATTGAATTATCAATCATAAGGCGCTTTTAAATTTACTTTCCTTATACAATTAAGAAAATTATTTATTTTGGTTGTAATAAAGATAAATATCTATACAGCAGCTGTATTCCATGAATCGCCAAAGCCGCATTCACACAAAGCCAGTTGGTGTGCAGGTTACCTGAATCAAGTAACTAAAATACATTAGAGGCAAGTAACCAGCCTGCTCTGCTGGCCTTGTGTAAACGCGGCTGGGTTTACTTGATGCTAGTTGGTGAGACAGTTGTCTTCGCCAATTGTCATCACGAGACCGAGGGATTGTCGGAGGCCAGTTGTCCTCAGTCTACTCCCGTAGACAACTGAATTTCAGGGCAATTGGCCTGAAGTTTTTACACAAAGCCAATAATTTCATGACAGTCAGTTGTCTTCTGACAATTGTTTTACCTACTGGCATCGTGTAAACCCGGCTTTAGAAGGACATCAATGGAAAGTGTCTTTGAAGACTAAACATACACTTTAAAACTATAGTATTTGAAATAAGGATGGGCGAGATTGGATTTTTAAATCGATACAAGAGGAGACGGGACTTTTTATCTTACTAATATTATAAATGTGAAAGTTTGTGTGTTGTTTTTGTTTGACGTTCAATCATGCATTAACTACTTGTCGGTTTGGGCTGAAAATTGCCATGGTGATAGCTCACGTTCCCGATTAACATATAGACATATTCTTATCTCAAAAATCCTTTCGGGCTCCACCCCATTGGCTCTGGAGTTTCCCATGTTAACCTTGTGAGTATTCATATTTAAAAGGAATTAAATAATTTGGTCAGCTGTTTCAACTACACAAGTTGGTTCTATAATATCAAATAGCATTAAAAAGTTATAAGGTTTACCAACAGGGTGCAGTACTATTAATATTTATGCATTTATGACAACAGCTAATTTGAACCAACTAGCAACAAAAAGCTGTGATATACAATGAGACATTTACTTTTTTATGGTTTAGGTGCAGTGGTAGAACATTACGGTTATGGTAGATGTGCTATATTATAGCATACTGTAACTTAAAAAACCAAATTTTCTTAAACCGTGTACTCTCCCATTGCAAACACAAAGTCAAGTAGGCTATAACTGCAGTAAACATTTTATACTTATACGCCAACCCGATGGGTACGAAAGACGGGTACTCTGCTAGTTTCTCATAAAATTTCGAGAGGAGATTGAGACAGGATTTCCCTTCTCATACATAACGGAAATGTCCGTTCGCCATTTTAACCTGATTTTGTAACATTGTTAAATACCTACTGATTTATGACATGTGACTATATTTAAATAGAATAATAGTAATAATATTCAAGAATGTTTAAAATCTTATATTAAAAAATATCAATAAAAACATACGCATAGGAAACATGGTGATATCAGTTATGATATAGTTCAACTTTGAAAAATACAAAATTTATCAGTCTGAAATATCAATCTTGCATGTTAGGTATTAAGCTTAATACTTAATAGTAGAACTCCTAAAACATCAGTCTTACTAGTTAAATATCAAGTAACAATTTTAAAATTTTTACTTTCTCCCCCTCCCTATACATAGTATTATGGAGAAAGTATTGTTTTTGTCAAAATTTTCGATTTTGAGTGGAAATATCCGTTTTGGGTCCCTCTGAATCCAAATATGTGGTTTTCGATGTGACTTCTTTGTGTGTGTGGATGTGTATAAAGCTACAGATCACACCTGTAAATTGATTTTGATGAAATTTGGTACGTAGGTACTAATCCATAGTATCTCCAGGCGTTTTTTTTTTCATTTTTAGAAGCTTTAATTTTTAATGGTGATTTTCCCATAAAAACCCATAAAATTACGGAAAAAGCATATTTTTTAAAAAAATTGCTGAAAAGATGTTGATAAAAATGTAATATGTTATAGTCCATTGAATTTTAAACAAAATGGTACAAATCCCATTTCCGTTAAAATTACGGTTCCAAAGTTATTTCAACTTATGTTGTTGTACAAAATATCAGATTTTAGAAAAATACCGGTTTCGACTAAAATTAGTATGTTATGGTCTTTTAAATTTTGAACAAAATGGTACAAATCCCATTTCTGTAAAAATTATGGTTCTAAAGTTGTTGTAACTTACGTTATTTTCCATAAAAACCCAATAAAATAACAAAAAATATGATTTTACAAAAAAAGCCAGTTTGGATTTAAACTAATGTGTTATGGTCTTTATAATTCTAAACAAAATAGTGCAACCCCCCATTGCTGTAACAATTACGGTTCAAAGGTTATTGCAACTTTTGTGATTTATACCTATAAAATAAAATACACACCCTGCTTTTGTTTTTTCTCACACTTAACAAAAGTCATAATTTGCGATAACAAAACAAAAAATTATAAAACAAAGCAATATTTACATACAAAGAATTAATTAAATTAGAACACCTTCACAAAGGAAACCAAACACAACAATGCAATTCTGTATTGCGGGTATTGCATTGACTTTCTGCAGGTGTTTTTAACTGTTTTTTTACTTTCTCCCCCTATACATAGTATATGGAGAAAGTATTGTTTTCTTCAACATTTTAGAGTTTGAGTTTTTAGTGGATATATCCATTTCGGGTCCCCCTGAACCCAAAGGAGGGGTTCTCAAAGTGATGTCTGTGTGTGTGTGTGTGTGTGTGTGTGTGTGTGTGTGTGTCTGGATGTGTACAGAGCTGCAGACCACACCTGTAGTCCAATTTTGGTGAAATTTGGTATGTAGGTACTAATCCATAGTATCCCCAGGAGTTTTTTTTATTTTTTTTAAATTTTGATTTTTAATGGGGATTTTCCCATAAAATAACCGAAAAATCGAATTTTCTCAAAAATGGCCTGAACGATTTTGATAAAAATTTAGTATGTTGTAGCCCTTTAAATTCTAAACAAAATGGTACAACTCCCATTCCTGTAAAAATTACGGTTTAAAAAATATCGTAAATTATGTTATTTTCCCATTAAAAACCCCCATAAAATAAAAGAAAATTATATTTTCGAAAGAAACCGGTTTAGATTGAAATTAGTGAGTGATAATCCTTATAATTCCAAACAAAATAGTGCATCCCTTCATTCCTGTTAAAATTAGTGTTCAAAAGTTAATGAACTTTTGTGATTTTCTATTAAATATCATAGTTATTCTCATCGTTTACCCATGATAAAGGTTGTTGACAAGCTAATGGAAGAAAGTATGTGTCAGATTGCTGATACCGTTTATTATAATCTTGTCCCAAAAATCTTGATCAAAATAAAATCTCGTCTCTTGCAACAAGATTTGAACATTTCTTGGGAATTTCAAGACCCGACCACCCCTAATTTTAAAAAATCCAAAAAAGAAGTAGGCTAAGTTTGTTACTGCCTTTTTTGTACTGAGCCCATTTATTGTATATTGAGGGAGGGAAGGGATATTGTTTAGTAGCCTGTATAGTGGAGAATGGAGAGAATGAGATCATGGCTCTTGGTAGGTGTAAATCCGCCCCTGTTTCTGACCAAATAATGTCCAACTATTTTTAGTGAATCAATAGTGAAAAGGACATGTTTTAAACAAATTGTCAACATCTTGTTACAGAATCAACTAACAACCGAGTCCTGTACTTCAGCATATTCAGTATGTGCTGTTTACTCAGTCTGGCTACCTGGCAAGTGCTTTACCTAAGAAGATTTTTCAAAGCAAAGAAACTCATAGAGTGAAGTGAAATTATTGACACTGACAAGTGTGTATATATACAAGTTTTGACTATTTCTTCTTTTAATTTTACAGCACCTTTTAAATTAATTTAAATTAGACATATTTAAGATATGTGCTTGATTTTGAATAGGTGTACTGTGAATCCTGTATGTGTGTTTAATGTAATAATGAAGTGGATTACATTCTTTTTGGATACAATGTATCATACATGGTATTTTGTGCTTACCAAATTATTAACCTTACTAATCATCCAACACAATATTGTAGCATTGACTATTGGATACAGAAGTTGTTGTATTAATAGTCAAAGATTGTATTTATATTGTAGCTTGAATTTTTTAATATCTATGATGACTCTTCTTATTAGGGTCAAGGGAATGTTGCACAGTTGAGTTTTGATGTTCCTATATGTATATACGAGGTCTACCCAGAAAGTAGATTACGTTTTTGCCTGTATCCGCTAGGGGCGGGGCTATCGCGACCATCTTGGTGTTAGTTCGTTATGCAGCTCAGTCGGCATCTAGTCGTGCTAGTAAGAGGTTTCTGCTGTACTCCGTTGAGTTACTGTGACAGTTTAAAATGTCTATGTTAATTGAAAATGCCGCGAACTGTGAAGTTATAAGGTTTTTGATTGTGCAAAAAACTGTAAACCGATAGAAATCTATCGGCAACTTTGGGAAGTTTATGGGGAAAACATTATTACTGAAGGTGGAGTTCGTCAGTGGGTCATAAAATTAAAAAATGGCCGAACTAACGTTCACGACAAAGAGCGAAGTGGAAGACCCAGCATTGTGATTGCCGAACTTGTCGAAAAAGTCGATGACGATGTCCGTAAACCTCAAAAGTTCATAATAACAGAACTCTCTATGGGTTTTCCACAAATTTCGCGAAGTTTGTTGCACGAGATCATAACCGAAAAGCTTGGTTACCAAACTGCAACCTAAGAGTCCATTCATTTTTTTGGCACGCACTTCACAGTTTGCGGCATTTTCAATTAACACAGACATTTTAAACTGTCACAGTAACTCAACGTAGTACAACAGAAACCTCTTACTAGCACGGCTAGATGCCGACTGAGCTGCATAACGAACTAACACCAAGATGGTCACGCTAGCCCGGGAAACGGACTTTCGGCCTGCGCTGCCCCTGACTCGGCCTGGGCTGCCCCTATTGTGTGTTGTGGAGGGTAGGTTTCTAGGGAGCAGGTACCTGACCTCAGCTTGCACTTTACCCATTAAATCCCTGGAATCTCCCAGAAATACTCGTGGGGTAGTAGTCAGGGGTCGTCGACACAGGAAGCATGGGCCAAACCTTCTAAGAAATACATTACTATTGTACTAGAATACTACTGTAATCTTTGGCATTAAGGATTCAGGAAGTGATAGTGTCTACGGGTGGTGAATATCCGCCCCAAATAAACCTCGTTTTGTTTCAAAATTTAAGATTAAAAAATATGCAAATGCCGACTACATAATACATCGGTTATGCTTCTTTTAATATGATATTTGATAGTGATTTTTGAAAAAAACTAATTTTAATAAATAATTGTACTTGGAGAAATACAACTTTTTAACCATGCTTCGCAAACAAGTGAACCACCCTAGGTAAAAAATAGTTGAGGACAAAAATAGTTTTAAGTCGAAGACATCAACTGTCTTTGCTTTGAATTGTACATTATGAAAGATTTCAATCATTGACTATACACCTCTACTCTCTGTACACACTCTCTGTAGAGGTGTATAGTCAATGATTTCAAAGTAAAATACTTCTAGTATCACAACTGTGATTTGCAATGAGAACTGTCAAAGTAGGATTGTTAACAGTTATGTTTATGTTTTTAATTTCATGAATAATTTGTGATATTTTGCGAATTGTTGATAATTTATTTTTCTCTATTGTTTAGGTGAAGTGGTAGAACATTATGAATATCAAATCAAATCAAAATTTCTTTTATTAGAGTAAAGTAGGTTAGAGTAAATGATGTGTGCAACGTAGTGGCAATTAGTTGTAGAAAATGTCTTTGTAAGTCTGGGTAAGCGTATGCCTTGGCCCAGTGCATGTCGAGTATTATGGTCATGTTGTGGACAAACAAAGAGTGACTCGTGGTGTTTGAAAATAAACATCGAAACTGTTCTGATGAATAGTTGCGTTAAATCAAGTACATTCATTTCAGTGAACAGAGCATCCGACGAGGATTGCCTACCCTTGCCAAGTGCCGCTTTTATAATTGCCTTTTGTGTTACAACGAGAGGTTGCAGAATGTTGCTGTAAGCACCACCCCAGGCAATTATCCCCCCCTCAAGCAGCGACTGTACATAAGCAAAATATGCATTTTTAATTTCATCAATTTCAAGATAATGGTGCAGTTGGCGAAAAGCAAAATTCAGTTTTCTTAACTTTTTGTTTAAATATGACACGTGATCTGCCCATGACAATTTAGAATCAAACACAACTCCAAGATATTTATAATTTTGAACTCGATTTATTACCGGGCAGGCACAACTATTTCCGATTTCATGACCACAAGAATGAATTTTTATTTCGTTGCGAAGTGTGTCACCTCGAGCTCTTAAGGAGATTGGAATAAATTTTGTTTTAGTGACATTGAGCGTTAACACATTCTGATCAAACAATTTTTTTATTTTTGACACGCCTCTTTCGGCATTGGCAAAAGCTGAGTCCCACGTTTTGCCTGGGAATAATAATAAGGTGTCGTCAGCAAAAAGGTAAAAATCACCTTCAATATTTAATTTCACAAGATTGTTAATGTAAATTAAGAATTGTAAAGGCCCTAATGTGCTACCTTGGACCACCCCAGAATCTACATTACCAAGATTGCCATTGATTCCATTAATATTTACAAACTGCTTTCTATTATCAAAATAAGATCGGAACTATTTCAGAGCTACATCTTTAACACCTATCAGTTCTAATTTTTTTTTAAAGGAGCGATCTATCTACTGAGTCGAAAGCTTTGGCAAAGTCAAAAAATACCAGAATAACACGCCTGCCTCTACTGATGGCCAAATTTATATCTTTATTAACCTCGAACAATGCATCTGTGATGTTTTTTGATTTTCTAAAACCAAACTGGTGGTGTGTTAAAATATCGTGCTGGTTAAGGTAATGAAAAACTTGATCTTTGATAATTTTTTCTAAAATCTTAGTGAACACACTTAGCAAAGAAATTGGCCTAAAATTTGAGATACTGGTGACGTCCCAAGACTTGAAGAGGGGAACAACCTTGGCAATTTTGTAGGCGTTGGGGAAAATGCCACTTTGGATACTCTTGTTAGTTATATGTAGCAGTGGTTGTCTAAGTGTCTCCCAGTTGTCTTTGAGTAGTTCAGCTGATACACAATCATACCCTGGAGCTGAGCCACCTCGCAGTCTAGTGACGTAAGTGTACAGTTCCTGTTCAGTTACAGTGTGAAGTGTGAGTATGGAGTCAATAGCGTGGTCAGTGTCATCAACCACAGGTAAACCGCCCGAATCTATACTTGCTGCCAAGTTGGGACCAACGTTGGCAAAGTACTCATTAAACTCGTCGGCTACCTGTAATCTACAGTCGTTGTCAACATTCAGTCTGTTTGCTGCAAATTGTGTAAGTGGGAAAATGTCCTTTCTATTACCTCTACCTGCTAATTCGTTTAAGGTACTCCAGAACGTTTTTGGATTGTTTTTTTGAATTTGAAAGTTTTTCCCTAAAATAATTGTATTTAGCTAGTTTTGTATCTTGGTTTAACTCATTTTTGATTCTTTGAAATTTTGAAATCAATTCCATATTAAAAGGTTGCCTCCTAACTAACTTGCTCAATTTGTCCCTATCCCTTATTTTTTGTACCAAGTCCTGTGTGATCCATGGTTTGAGTGGCCTCAGCCTCGGTTTGAGAACAGGTCTTTGTTTGGTGGATTTGTTTACACAATCTTTAATTTTGCCAAAAAGAATATCTGTAGATGCGTTTACATCACTCGCAAGCGAGATATCTGACCAATCACACTCTTTAATGTTTAAGCTCAAAGATGCTTTGTCAATGTAAGTGTTTGTGTTGTGTGACGTGTACTTAGTGTAAGGGTTGTGACTTATTTGTAGATAGATACTGTAGTGATCAGTTATGTCCGTCCTCACCACAGCAGTTTGTAAGGCAGTGTAATCATTGTGGTTTACAAATATGGTCAATATTTGTTTGACTATTTCCTACTACTCTAGTAGATGTATTTATGCCACATATAAAACCATGTTCATAAAAACGTCCAAGTACATACGGTACATATGGTAGATGTGTAATCTTCTATATATATAATACGCTAAGCAGATTTTTGTAAACAGAACTCCTCCCACATTTTTGGACTGATTTTGATGATTAAAGTGTCAAAAAAATGGCCCTGATTTGTAGTTTTGCAAAGTGTTTTTGGTTTTTTGAAATCTTTATTAGTTTGGGCAGGATCTTCCGTCAAAGTTGGGTTTTCTCCCATAAGATTAACATGGGGGGAATCTAAATATTTAATTGGAAACTTTGTCTCCACTAATTTGAGAGAACGGCTGGACGTAGAAACTTGGTAGAGGTCTCCAAAGAAAGGCCTTGGTCTGTAGATGAGTTATCAAAAGAAACACGAAGTAAATTCCCTTAGGGCTCTGCCCCAGAAGCCTTTAAAGATACCTCGACAAATTTGTTTACATTTTGGCCATGTGGATAATACTTTTACCTACAACCGTTTTTTAAAGTAGCCATTTCAGTCCAGTTCTTAGAATTGAAAAGTTTCACTTTACAGCTGTTTACTTTCATATCCGCATAGTTTCATTTCATATCCGCATAGTTTTCTCATATCCACACAGGTAACGGACCAATGAGGTTCAAGTATTGAGAGAAAAGAATTAAAATTGTAATGCTTCGAACGTCAACTAATCAGCTGATCAGCTGATCAGTTGACCAATTTAATTGTTGATCCGACTTGTTCATGTTGATACTCGCGTATTCTTAATTAAGTTGGTGGAAGTCCAAAAATAAATTAAATATTTGCCGAATTGTACCTGATACAATATTATTTATGGTAAGAATGCTGCTAGCAATTTAATATTTAACGAAGTTTAACAAACACGTAATTACAGGAAATCAGCTGATTATACAACAAGTCGTTGCATCACTTTCAGTGGCAATGACAATACACGAAAACATAACCTCTCTAAAAAGTTATCAGTAGTGATTGTTAGTA